GTTGTGACTATCGATCACCGGCTGGTGCACCTGTTGATGAACAAGTTTTGTCTATGTGAACGACCAGGATTCGGAGAATCTCGCAAAGATCAGCGATTTTCCTCTGTGTGAATCAATCCTGCAATTGCTTTTGTGTTTGGGACAGTTTGGGGCAACCTACTCAAATTACTCCCTGTGCCTTCGCTGTTTGTGATGGGACATGCAGGGTTGCTCTGGAATGTGATTGCATTTCGTTAATGGGGGTTTTCAAAGAGCATAGCATCTGATATGGTCTGGTTTATGTGTTCATCAGACATAGCAAACATCCAATGTGTATGCATCACTCTGGATCATAGGGTCGCTGTCAAGAAACTATCCGTATGGTAGAGCTGTAGAGTCACTGTAGACTGCAGTATTATGAGAGTGCATGATAGACATGGGCAGCACACACTTTCTCTTTGAATCTAAAAAATACAGGTCCATGGCAGGATGAGGAGGGAAATACAGGAGAGGAACGAGATATGGAGGCGGTAAAGGAGGATGAAGACGAGTATAGTGGTGATGAGCACAAGAAGGAGAAGGAACAGGACTGGTAAGAGGAAGGGGACGTCGAGGAGGAAGAGGAAGAGGAGGAGACGAAGAAGTAGAACAGAAGAAGATGATGACGATGACAATGAAGAAGAAGAAGAAGAAGAAGAAGAAGAAGAAGAAGAAGAAGAAGAAGAAGAAGAAGAAGAAGAAGAAGAAGCACATGTGGAGCTAGAACATAACGACGGATGTGGCAGTGGTGATGAGCCGAATATAACCACCTCACTGGATAGTGAACACTTGGGAGTCCAATACCTGTGAGCGCCTGTGTGCTGGCGTGCACTTGCTCATGTATGCACAGACAGATGCCTGTGTGCATGCCTACAGGCACGCATAGACATGTGGAGGGAGGAAGAACACTTCCGACACATGCAAACACAAACGTACTTTTCTTTTTTTGTTTGGAGGTTCAAATATTTCCATCTCTTGTTCTCTGTACCAGTCATTGGACACTTTTTTCTTGTCTGAACATGGTATTTGTGCCATTTCTCTATCACAAGCCTGCTGCAAACCTTCCAGGAATCCATGAAACATTGCCGTCTTCCCCGAAATGCAATGCGCGCTCCTCATTACTGCATAGGACCTGAAGGATAGCTGGAATACATTCATGATCAGGGTTCAATACATTCGAGTAAAGGCAGTAGATCTGATTGTCTTTCTCTTGTCTGGATTGATTCCTCTGCATTCCATTATGTCTTCAAATCGCTCCGTAACATTTTCAAGACCCTTTTCAATTCAAGCGAAGGTGTGCAGGCTGTACTTGACGAAAATAAATGTGGAAAGTTGTCGAGGGTCATCATGATGACACGAAGTCTCATTAACAAGAGTTATGACTGGTTTGCAGGGAGAGGAGCGAGAAGTGATAGAGTCTTGCTTCAAGCGGGGAGTGATCCGTGTTTTGACAGCAACCTCAACGTTGGCAGCAGGGGTCAACCTTCCAGCACGAAGAGTTATTTTCCGGTCGCCTAGAGTTGGCATTGGATTTATAGATGGTACAAGATATCGCCAAATGGCTGGACGGGCGGGCAGAGCTGGCATCGACACAGCAGGGGAGAGTGTGAGTGCCTTGAATGCTCTCTGCGGCATGGCTGTTGATTCTACTTGATTGTGTGGATTATTCTATGTTGTCTGGCAAACTGGGAAATGCTGTGGCAGTTACAGATGGTGAATCTTCATAACCCCTGGAAATACGTCGTTGGGAGTCTGAGAATGATATCTGCTTATCGCCCAGATTGTAAGATCTCTGTTTAACTTTAACGTCCAAAATTCTCTCTCCAAGTGCTCAGATTTTCTGCTAACCAAATGTTTGGGGGGGGGGGTGTTAATCAGAAGAAGGTGTGCTATATGTGCAAAGACTGCAAAGTAGTTCGGTGAATTTTCTGGCGTGTTGTTCTTGTTTGCAATGTTTTCCTGTTCTGCGATTCTTTGGTACTTCAGTGGCTCTCACTGCTGATGGCTTTATGAAAACTTTGCCACAACGGATGGATTGCACATGCAGCAATGATATCCTCCTTCAATTATCTAGATATTGCACGAGGAAATGTTTCACTTTGTTCTTGTCTTTTGCTGCTTTAAAAAAAAAGCAAAAGGAAGAAGAAGAAGAAGAAGAAGAAGGTCTGCTTCTCAACGAAATAGGGGGGGTAATTAGAAGAACGTCTGCTTCGGAATGAGATAGGAATTCAGAAGCGGGAATCTTTTCTTTTGCACCTCCACATTCACACTATGTACTGAAGACAAAAGTTGCCCATGTGTAGCTTGACCCGCAGAAACCCTAAAGGATGTTTTTGGTCCGAGGTGAGGGATGGCCCAAACCTGGTGGTTGATCCTTCTGTGTGCATCAGGAACGATGCCACATCTTCGTTCTGGACGATTGATGCAGCATTGCAAATTTTGTCCGTGTGCCAGTGTTGTCAACGGAGTTTCAGTGCTTTTTTAACTTTTTCTCTCTTTGTTCCTTTTTTTTTTTTTTTTTTTATGGTCGCGCATCACTGTGGATGAACACAGGCCCAATTCTAGACTACATAGAGAGAGGTGGTTTTGCATAACCTGGGCCCCTGGGAGAGGCCGGTTTTGGATAATTGGTCCTTTGAGGGCTACCGGTAGTTGGGATTTGCAGGGAAGAACCTGGGCACTCGGCTCGTTTTGGCAGCAGTACCTGGGTGGTTGGTGGTGTAAGTGTAGAGGCAGTGCCAAGCGGTATGTATCCGCCAGTCCTTACATGGACTCCCTTCTGTTGTCGGTAGGCTCTCAAGCAAGATGGAATAATATAACTATCAAAAGCAATTGATTGTTCACAGAAGTACTGTAATCTGAATACTAATAAGTCCAATTATCGCCAATACCATAGATGTTGATTCGCTTTGATAGTAATTGCAGGATCTACTACCTCATCCATGGAATATAAATTACATGCAATGAACATTACAAATGTTCGGCTGGATACCACCATAGTTAGAATTACCTGAGTGAGGACGCCGCCTGGCCGGGCCTGCCCGGCCAGGCTGGGCCCGGCCGGTTGGGCCCGGGGGGGCCAGCCAGCTAAACCGGGCGGGCCAAAAAAACGCCCAGAAATATATGTCTGGAGTGTATTTTTTGGCTGTGATAGACCTTTCTTTGTTTCGTGGATGTTTTGCTGGCTTGTGATGGGGTGTGAACCGACAGTCTG